ATCATGGAGTATCAATGAGTGGTAGTAATAAATAAATTGAACAAAGGAACAGGTACTTAAAAACATCTTGCAGGGGCGTGGCTTGGCGCATGGAGCGAGAGCAGTGACACTGCACAACTCCCAGCCTGGACCTCTGCTCCAGGCTCCCTCTCTCCCTCATGGGCACTCTTGTATATTCCCCATGGGGAGGGATCAACACCGGAACCCCTGGAGAGCAACGGGGAGCTGCTCTGGCAGTGATATGAGCTGGTTTTTGACCCGATCCGAGGCCTCGGGCACCCTGGCCTCCAAGATGGCGCTGGCACCTCTCCCTTCCTCGTCCCCTGTGGATACAGGGCTCCGTACAGAAGAAGGGCAGTTAAGTCCTTGGGCTCTCTCTCTCTCCTCCTGGGGATCCTGTTATAAAGGCACAGCAAACACATAAAGCACACAGAGATCACGCAGCCCCTCCCCAGCATCTCTCTGCTCTGAGGATTGCTGGGATCTGCAGTCCCACATGCGGTCCCTGCACACCTACATGAAATCCCTTCCTACAAAGGTAGATTTTGAGCTTTATGTGAAATGTATTGAAAGCACATACAAGCTGGAAATTTCTGATCTTAAACAAGACATTTGTGTGCGCATGGAAGAGATTGACAATACCGCCGACGGCCTGTGTAACGCTTTACAAACCCACGAAGAGACCCTTAACTCCCATACGGTTCTTATACAACAGCTCACGTACCAACAAGATGACATTGAGAACAGGAACCGCCGTAACAATGTTTGGATCAGGAGCATCCCAGAAACCATTGAATCTAAAGATTTGGCCACAGCTGTTACCGCCATCTTCAATCAACTGCTCCATCAATCTAAAGACACCTATATTGAGTTGGACCGCGTACATCGCACGCTGGGCCCCAGGAATCCTGACCCATCTTTTGTCAGTGATTCCCTGTGCAGGGTCCATTACTTTAATGTCAAGGACGCAGGGGCGGACTGACAACTCATGGGGCCCCCGGGCAATAGGGGATCATGGGGCCCCTGTGTCCTTGCCCAAACTCAAAAAAGCCTGTAAAAAAGGTACCAGGGGCATCTCATGGGGTCCCCTACTGACCCCTGGCCCTCGGGCAGTGCCCGAGTTTCCAAATGGTCAGTCCGCCCCTGCGGACAGCACACAGGACACTATCCTATTCAACGTAGTGCCAGTGATGCTCCTCCCTGACCTTTCTCGCCAGACTCTAGCTATGCGCAGGGCTCTGCGCCCTCTCACTCAAATGCTACAGGAGAGACATATCCGTTATCAGTGGCGGTTCCCATTTCAAATTCACATCTCCCAGAATGGTAAATCTTCTCAATTCTGCACCCTTGGGGGCTTGCCTACATTTCTCGGTGTGTTCGAGCTACCTCAGGTATCCCTCCTGGATTGGCCCTTTCAACTACCGACCCCTGGCCTTCCATTCCCCTCTTCCTGGCAGCAGTCTGATTGTAAGAAGAAGAAGTGTTCCAGATCTTCCTCCCACAAGATCCCGGAGGGATGACTCCCTATCTGCGTGAATTGGGAGGTTTTTCCCTTTCCTCCTCTTCCTACAGTTTTTGCACATTCTGTTGGTTACTCCTATTAGATCTGTGCCTTGTGTTTGTACCTGTTGTTTTTTTAGGTTCTGGGGCTGTGGCCTATGGCTGGTCCATGGGTTCCGCCACTGCCATTCGGGCAGGGACACCTTCGGCCCTAGTCTCAGGGGCTTTAGGCCCTTCCTTTATTTGTCTCATTCACACCCCATAATTACCGTGCTCTGTTTATATTTATTTGTTGGGGGCGGGGCCTACTTCCTCATGCCTGTTTAAGGGATTATTGAATACGTTTTGTTGAGAGGGTCATCCTCCCCTGAGGGTGACCTTCCTCAAATTATCATTTGCCTGTGGGGGGCCTTGGTCAGGATCGGATACATGCGCCTTTGACGTTCCCCACCTAGGAATGCGGTGTACTACGCAGTTTCACACTGTATGTTATTTTGACAGCTCGCCTGTCTAGTAGTTTCTCCTTCTCATTTATCTCTTTTTTTTCTGCTCTTCCTTTCTTGGCTTTTTTTTTCTCTTTTCACTAGTTCTATATCTAATACCCTTCTTTTCTTTCCTCTTGGGGGTACCCCCCCTCTTTTTTTTCTCTCTCTCCTATTTGTTCTCCCTCAACCAACTGTGACTCTGATTAAATTTTCCTCTACTAATTGTAGGGGTTTTAACACTCCAGAGAGGCGGAGCCAGAAGATCTACCATTTCCATAAATGTGGAGTGCAGATCTTGCTCCAGGAGACTCATTTTCGCTCTGATGGTATCCCAGCCCTCCGCAACCGTCACTATACTCCACTGAGTATCATCTAATCCACAGGCTAGGTCTGGGGGGGGGTGTCGGTGGCCTTTCATCATACCTTCGGGCCGGAGGTCCTGGACTCCCTAATCGTTCCAACTGGTCACTACCTCTTCCTTAAATTGAATATATCAAAATATAGATCAGGCTCCATTTCTGGCAACAGTCCTCTCTAGGCTGTCCGCTTTTGGGGGTCCCGGTTTCATCGTCGGAGGGGACTTCAACATGGCTCTCTCTCTAGACTTGGACACTTCATCGGGTAAATCTTCTCTCTCCTTATTGGCCGTATCTCAACTTAAGTTGCGTTTGCATGACTTACACCTAGTAAATGTTTGGCGCGTCCAGCATTCTTCGGAGCAAGACTATAGTTATTACTGTGCAGCTCATGCATCATACAGTCGTATAGACTATTTCTTTGCTTCACAGTATTTTCTAGATTGTCCTACTTCATCCTCTCTTGGTCATTTCTTATGGTCAGACCATGCCCCAGTCCATCTAACGATTCAGGACCGACCATCGTCTTTGCGTCGCTTTTCATGATGCTTGAACGATACCCTACTCAAAGATTCTCTATGTATCGCGGAGGTCGTGAAGACTATCCAGGACTTTATTCTGGACCACACATTGGGCACTACTGGCCCTCTTAACCAATGGGAGACCCTCAAATGTGTTCTTAGAGGGGTTCTTATTAAGCATGGCTCTCGCTTGAAAAAAGCTTGAACGACGGAGATGCGTCGCTTATTTTCACTCATTGCACGCCTTGAATTGTCCCACAAACGTACTCTGGACCCGGTGCTTGCAGTGGACCTCTCTAAATGCTTGTAGAGATTTACTCCAACTTCTAGATTCCTCCTCCCTTGTTGCATGAGACAAAGCATGCAACACTCATTACTCTCTAGCTAACAAATATGGCCAGCACTTGGCACGTGTACTCCACCCTCGTCCATCCCGTTGTCCGATCCAACACATCAAGGCGCCTGACGATACTAAAATTTATCACAATATTAAAAATGTGTAAATAAGTAAGCGCCTTCTAGATAGCAGCAGCTGTACACCAAAGGCACCATATAAGGCCTTCTAATAAACAATAATATGCAGAAAGGTGCAGCGCTAAAACACAAATAAATGAACGTATATACACGTACATAAGATCATGCAAAGATATAAAGTGACACTGTACACTCATATGCCACTATATTGTGGCTGATATAACATGAGGAAAATTGCTATATCCAAGAAAAAGTCCAACGTGAAGATGTGAGCAAGATCTCAACCGATCTGTGGATTTTCCAAACGACACAGACTGTGCACACGGTGAAACAATGAGGATACAGTTTACGCACTCACCAGATGCGCAACCTTTGTGCGCTTTTATATAATATAGAGACTTCAAATATCTCATCAGAGGTCTGGTCAGATCTGGTCAGGTCCCCTTCGTCATCCCGCTCTTTGCACTCAGCCTTCTCATTAGGTAATGACCACTCTGTAAATGTAACTGGCTCCCACAGGAGCTCAGAAGAAACAGAGGAGGCCAGTAGTGCAGTATGTCTTAGGATGTTTTATTCCCACTCACAAACAGATACTCATTAGGTACAATGCAAAGAATAAAATGAAGTACTGACCCGATATAAAGTTGCCGCCGGGACCCCTCGTGGTGCCGGCGGTATTAGCGTCAAACAGCTGCAGCCTGACCTTGATGCGTTTCGAGCGAATGCTCTTAGTCATAGGGTTTTGGCTATCAGCTGTTGACGCCGTACTGTCTTTTAAATAAGGGAAATGGCGCATGCGTCGTTACCATGCGCCATTTTCCCGAAGATAGATGTCCTCAAAACCGGCGCCATTTTGGCGTAGTCCGTCTAACCGCGCATGTGCGAGCATACGTCGGAACGTGAAGGACATCTATACAGGATCACCAAAGGGAGGAATGTTGCCCTGGAAACAATATACACTGAATGCAATCCCGAAAATCGCTCAAAACAAGTGTATAGAGTTTGTCAAAGAAGTCCGTTTTTCTTTAAAGGACAATTCAATCTCTTTGGCATAACTTTGGTGCATAAAAGAGTATATTTTATAATATTGTTTTAATAATACATCCCCCTTCTTTGACAAACTCTATACACTTGTTTGGAGTGATTTTCAGGATTGCATTCAGTGTATATTGTTTCCAGGGCAACATTCCTCCCTTCACGTCCTTCACGTTCCGACGTATGCTCACGCATGCGCGGTTAGACGGACTACGCCAAAATGGCGCCGGTTTTGAGGACATCTATCTTCGGGAAAATGGCGCGTGGTAACGACTAGAGATGAGCGAATTATTCAAAAATTCGGTTCGGCTGATTCGCCGAATTCGCCGAATAAATTCGCTTCGAGCCGAATATATTCGCTGCGAATTTAACTTATAAAAAGGGTGTTTCTAGGCTTCAGAGAGCCATTATATTAGTGCAGAACACTGTACCTTTAATTTAAATGCCCTTGGAGTCTGCTGGGGAAGAGAAATAATACTGTCAGTCAGTATGACATGCAGATGAGTGCCGTCGATCTTAGAATCACCCCACACTTCACTCATTTGGGCAGTCACGGGGCCAAAACCAGAGTGTGGAGCCACAGTGTGGGCGGTGGAGGCAGCAGCAATGGGAGGCCATACAGCACCCTATGACAAAATGGAACCCACCAGCAGTGTGAGGAGACCTGAAAGTGGCACATGGCAGAGTGTGGCGATGGAGACAGCAGCAATGGGAGGCCGTACAGGGACCCATGAGACACTCTGGACCTGGCAGCAGCATGAGGAGGCGGTACAGGGGCCCATGACAGATTACAGGCCTGGCAGCAGCATGAGGAGTCGGCACGGGGGCCCATGGCAGATTACGGGCCTGGCAGCAGCAGCATGAGGAGGCGGTACAGGGGCCCATGGCAGAGTGGCGGAGCGTAAGCAGCTAAAATTGAAGGCCATACACAGGCCTAGGTTTAAAAGTCCCTCACAGTTAATTCCAATAACGAACTCTACTCCTCCGTGCAATCTACTTACGAGACCCTGGGCAGGTCTGGGTCCAATTTGTGGTAGAGACTGGTTTTGTTCAGCCATGCTTGAGCGAGTAATAACAGGTCTGTGCTGCCCTTTGGTGTCTGGCTTAATGCGCACAACACTGAACGTCCCAGCGTTTGTCAACAATTTGCCGTTAAGTGATGCAAACCCGCTGAACCACGTTCATGAGGAGCCGGTACAGGGGGCCATGAATCAGTATGGACCTGGCAGCAGCGTGAGCAGACGACAGAGGCACATGGCGCAGGGTGGCGGTGTAGGCAGCATTATTCTGAAGCCATACACAGGCCTAGGTTAAAAAGCGGAAGCCGTCAGCAGCTTGAGCAGACGACAGAGACACATGGCGCAGGGTGGCGGTGGATGCAGCAGTATTCGGAAGCCAAACACAGGCCTCGGTTAAAAAGCGGAAGCCGCCAGCAGCGTGAGCAGACGACAGAGGCACATGGCGCAGGGTGGCGGTGGAGGCAGCAGCAATGGAAGGCCATACAGCACCCTATCACAAAATGGAACCCACCAACAGTGTAAGGAGACCTGAAAGTGGCACATGGCAGAGTCTGGCGATGAAGTCAGCAGCAATGGGAGGCCGTACAGGGACCCATGACACACTCTGGACCTGGCAGCAGCAAGAGGAGGCGGTACAGGGGCCCATGGCAGAGTGGCGAAGCGTAAGCAGCTTAAATTGACGGCCATACAGAGGCCTATGTTAAAAAGTCCCCCCAGCAGCAGTGTGGGGAGACGACTATCAAGAGTCCAATGGCAGAGTGGCGGAGCAGAAGCAGCTTCAATTGAAGGCCATACACAGGCCTAGGTTAAAAAGTCCCCCCAGCAGCAGCGTGGGGAGACGACTATCAAGAGTCCAATGGCAGAGTGGCGGAGCGGAAGCAGCTTCAATTGAAGGCCATACACAGGCCTAGGTTAAAAAGTCCCCCCAGCAGCAGTGTGGGGAGACGACTATCAAGAGTCCAATGGCTGAGTGGCGATCCGGGAAGTCAGCGTTGTGATTGCAGATGCAATGCAGAGATTCTATGAGGTGATGCCGTGGGTGCGAAGAAGATCATATACCCTCGTACTTCCATCCATAAGACGGAACAACCTGCGAACCGGGAGCTTTATTGCCCTGACCCGCTGAGCAGCTTCTGGGATACCCAAGAGGCCCATGGCAGAGTGGCGGAGCGTAAGCAGCTTCAATTAAAGGCCATACAGAGGCCTATGTTAAAAAGTCCCCCCAGCAGCAGCGTGGGGAGACGACTATCAAGAGTCCAATGGCAGAGTGGCGGAGCGGAAGCAGCTTCAATTGAAGGCCATACACAGGCCTAGGTTAAAAATTCCCCCCAGCAGCAGTGTGGGGAGACGACTATCAAGAGTCCAATGGCTGAGTGGCGATCCGGGAAGTCAGCGTTATGATTGCAGATGCAATGCAGAGATTCTATGAGGTGATGCCGTGGGTGCAAAGAAGATCATATACCGTCGTACTTCCATCCATAAGACGGAACAACCTGCGAACCGGGAGCTTTATTGCCCTGACCCGCTGAGCAGCTTTGGGATACCCAAGAGGCCCATGGCAGAGTGGCGGAGCGTAAGCAGCTTCAATTAAAGGCCATACAGAGGCCTATGTTAAAAAGTCCCCCCAGCAGCAGCGTGGGGAGACGACTATCAAGAGTCCAATGGCAGAGTGGCGGAGCGGAAGCAGCTTCAATTGAAGGCCATACACAGGCCTAGGTTAAAAAGTCCCCCCAGCAGCAGTGTGGGGAGACGACTATCAAGAGTCCAATGGCTGAGTGGCGATCCGGGAAGTCAGCGTTGTGATTGCAGATGCAATGCAGAGATTCGATGAGGTGATGCCGTGGGTGCGAAGAAGATCATATACCGTCGTACTTCCATCCATAAGACGGAACAACCTGCGAACCAGGAGCTTTATTGCCCTGACCCGCTGAGCAGCTTCTGAGGTGGTAGAGGCGGACATCTTTGCTGGACCAAGGACATGCAAACGTGGAGGCAAAAGCGGCGTGACCTGTCCAAGTTGCTGGTGCGGCTGTGCCGGCACCACGTTCACCCAGTGGGCCGTAAATGACATGTACTGTCCCTGACCGTAGTTAAAGCTCCACACGTCGGCGCTGCCGTGCACTTTGGCAGAGACCGACATGCTCAAAGACTGGCCCACCATCTCTTCTACATGTGAATGCAGGGCTGGCACTGCCTTTTTGGCGAAGAAATGCCGGCTTGGCACTCTCCACCGCGGCTCGGCACAAGCCATCATTTCTCGGAAAGGTGCTGAGTCCACCACTTGGAAAGGGAGGGACTGCAGCACCAGCAACTTGGACAGGAGGACGTTCAGCTTCTGCACCGTCGGGTGCGTGCTCGCAAACTGTTGTCTCTTGGAAACGGATTCCAAGAAAGACTGCTGACGGAATCCGTGAAGAGGAGTAGCAGGAGAAGGAGCATCTGAACGAGCGGAAGATGCCAACGAGCGACAACTCCCCTCAGCAGAGGTGTTGGAGCCTTGACTGGCTGATAGAGGGCGATTGACGTCGGGTGACGGAGCAAGTAACGGAGCGGGTGATGGAGCGGGGGCTGGGGCAGGCAGAACCGCCGTATCTTTATCACGGTTTTCCCAGGCCACCGAATGGCGATGCTGCATATGCTGACGCAACGCTGTAGTCCCAACATGGGCCCCCTGGCCACGCTTGACTTTCTGGCCACATAGTCGTCCGACATACGGCTACGTTTACTTCCTCGGGCGGCTTGACGAAAAATTGCCACACCGCCGAGTAGGAAACTTTGCCCCCGCTACTCCTCACTGACTGACTGCTACTTCCTCCGTGCACACCGGCACCACTACTGGCCGTGGTGGTAGGCTGCAGTGGAGCTGGTGCTCTACTCCGTGGCCGTTTGGCTCCACTGACACTGCTGCGACCCTGCTGCCTCCTGGGCAACCCACCGACTGTTTTGCTCGCTGCCAAGCTGCCACCCTCTTCTCCTGATGATGCGGAAGCAATAGCCTGATGACGACGAGGCTGCCAAGTGCGATCAGCCTCATCATCATCAATTAGGGTCTCCGCGTCACTACTAGCCCCCTCGGCTGCGTGTGGGTCAGGAGACAGACCTGTCTCTAGACCGGCTACCGAGCCACTCTCCTCCCCAGTACTTCTTCGCCTGGCTGCTGAAGAGGCGGATGTCTCCCCCCGTTCCTGACCGCCCTCTGTTAGCTCTTCCTCACTGTACAGTGGGGCTGAGCCCACAGCATGCGATACTTCGCTTGGTGAGGGAAACACCAAAGGACAGGGGCAGGTAGAGGACACGTGATTTCAGTGGGCTTGCTCCCGGGCCATGCCAACTAACGGTTGTGTCTGACGTACCCACCGACCGTTGGCTGTAGGTGTCAGAGGTGACCTGGGAAGAGGAAGACGACCGAGTCAACCAATCGATGACGGCAGGGTTGTCGGTGGAGACACGACCGCTGGATGACACCGGGAGCACTGGCCTCTGGCTGCGACTAGTGCTGCCTCGACCCCTTCCTCTGCTGCCACGTCTGCTCGCTCCTGAAACATTGCCTCCTCTGCCACTCCTCTGCGTGTTGTCTGACATACTCTTTAATTCAATAAGCACCCCAAAAATAAAACCGGATTTAACTCTTTGAACGTACAATAGTGGTTGTGAAGCAGAAAGTCAGTTTATTTAGCACAATCGGTCAATTGCAGCTTGCCGTTGGCTGTAAACTGTACGTTTATGTCACTGGAATGCACTAATCACCCAAAAAATATTACCGCCACCCGGCGTGTAAATGGATTTAACTCTTTGAACGTACAATAGTGGTTGTGAAGCAGAAAGTCAGTTTATTGTACACAATCGGTCAATTGCAGCTTGCCGTTGGCTGGAAACTGTACGTTTCTGTCACTGGAATGCACTAATCACCCAAAAAATATTACCGCCAGCCGGTGTGTATATGGATTTAACTCTTTGAACGTACAATAGTGGTTGTGAAGCAGAAAGTCAGTTTATTTAGCACAATCGGTCAATTGCAGCTTGCCGTTGGCTGGAAACTGTACGTTTATGTCACTGGAATGCACTAATCACCCAAAAAATATTACCGCCACCCGGCGTGTAAATGGATCTAACTCTTTGAACGTACAATAGTGGTTGTGAAGCAGAAAGTCAGTTTATTGTACACAATCGGTCAATTGCAGCTTGCCGTTGGCTGGAAACTGTACGTTTGTGTCACTGGAATGCACTAATCACCCAAAAAATATTACCGCCAGCCGGCGTGTAAATGGATTTAACTATTTGAACGTACAATAGTGGTTGTGAAGCAGAAAGTCAGTTTATTTTGCACAATCGGCAAACTGCAGCACCAACTGTGCACGACAGCCACCAAAAAAAAAAAAGGGTGTACGTCACTTTAAATTTTCGATTCTTTGATAGCTGTGCCCTAAGTAACGATTCTGTGTCCCTGAGTAACGATTCTGTGTCCCTGAGTAACGATTCTGTGTCCCTGAGTAACGATTCTGTGGCCCTAAAGTCTCTGTGGCCCTAACTCTGTCCCTTAATACACACAGGTCTGTCTCTCTTGAATGACCGGAGGCTAATGAGAATTCTAAGATGGCCGCGATTTATAGCTCCACCATTACACAGTGCTGGCTGGCTGCTGATTGGCTAATGCGATCACATGTCATGAATGCATTATGGGTCAGCGCGCCTTGTCTGCGCGCCTTCCCAGAGATCCCCGCCCCATCTTCTCTGTCCATTTTCTCCGTGGCCACACATGTTGCCGCCATTTTTGGGAAAATTCGATTCGTGCATCCGAAGTTTGCTAATCTTCGGATTCGTCGCGAATAGAATTTTTCCAAATCTTCGGAACGAATTCCACTTCGTCATGTTCGATTCGCTCATCTCTAGTAACGACGCATGCGCCATCTCCCTTATTTAAAGCAAACCCCTATGACTAAGAGCATTCGCTCGAAACGCGTCAGCGTCAGGCTGCAGCTGTTTGACGCTAATACCGCCGGCACCACGAGGGGTCCCGGCGGCAACTTTATATCGGGTCAGTACTTCATTTTATTCTTTGCATTGTACCTAATGAGTATCTGTTTGTGAGTGGGAATAAAACATCCTAAGACATACTGCACTACTGGCCTCCTCTGTTTCTTCTGAGCTCCTGTGAGAGCCAGTTACATTTACAGAGTGGTCATTACTTAATGAGAAGGCTGAGTGCAAAGAGCGGGATGACGAAGGGGACCTGACCAGATCTGACCAGACCTCTGATGAGATATTTGAAGTCTCTATATTATATATAAAAGCGCACAAAGGTTGCGCATCTGGTGAGTGCGTAAACTGTATCCTCATTGTTTCACCGTGTGCACAGTCTGTGTCGTTTGGAAAATCCACAGATCGGTTGGGATCTTGCTCACATCTTCACGTTGGACTTTTTCTTGGATATAGCAATTTTCCTCATGTTATATCAGCCAAAATATAGTGGCATATATATGAGTGTACAGTGTCACTTTATATCTTTGCATGATCCTATGTACGTGTATATACGTTCATTTATTTGTGTTTTAGCGCTGCACCTTTCTGCATATTAAAATTTATCACAATAAGGGCATCTGTTCTGCGTTTGAGCGCTACTATT